GTTTTTGCGGCAACATCAGCTCAACATTCTTGCTGGAGCTTGTTCCCAAGCTATGCATGCAAATCAAAATAATAACAAATCCAAACCTGATGAGCATCTAATGCATCTTAGTAACATCAGTACAAGCGAAGCGATGCAAGGTTTGTATGATCCCACAGGCAGTACACGATTGAGAAAACTACATCGATGACCATAAACTAGAAGGAAACACAGTTGCAAACTGAAAGTAAGATCGTGTCCTCAAATTAATAACCCATTAACTTTGTAGAGAGCAAATTGCTCATTGCTGGCGATTGACTGGCCCATTGACGTGATTCACGACAAATCCGGCAAAAATCCGAACGACTTGTCAAAATTTTGGCCTTGTTTGTAAGGAAATGGAAAGTTTAGGGGGTTGGCTGCAAGTTGTTAGGGACTTGGTTGCAAGATTCTGTTATTTTAGTCTGCAAACTTGGTTGCAAGACCTTCATAAAAATCTTAAACCTGACATTTAGATGACAAATCGGTTGATATTGCTGAATATGAATTCCTTCCTCAGTGTTGAGCAAGAGTATAATTTTCCCAAAGTTTTAAGGGTAATGTCAAAGTTTTAAGGGTAATGTCATTTTCGAAATACGAGAGGTGAATGAAAGGTTTTTGTGTTCATGCCCATGGACATGATGTAGATCCTATCATGGAAGCTTCTTGTAATAATAATTATTTCTTGATATAATATCCTTTGGTATCAGTGAATTGATCCTTTGCAATCATGGTTCCGACCATATGCAATCGTGGTCTGGTCGCCGCCTTCAAGGGCATTCTTCTCTCATATATGGTGGAGACTCTCCCTCACCGATTTTTGGACAGTCATGTATGGAGTCCCGACAGACTTAAAGTCAACTCAAAATGTCGTTTAATTCTCTTTCTAGCAAATCCGGGGCACTCGATATTTCCTACATATTCTAGTACAAGTCATGCTTAAATTCACGGAAAAAATCTGGCATGACCTTTACTAAAATAGGACATATCGAGAGCCTGAAATTTACCGGAACAGAAATGAATCAACACTCCGGCAAAACATAGGTCACTCGGAAATGAATGAACACTTCACACATGAGCATAAACTGGTGCTCATTGCATTTCAATGGTTCCCCCAGCCTTCACAGGCATGGTTGTGGAGCGATTCTAGTGCTGTTGCGGCGTTATGCTGCCGAAAATTCTGACGAAAATTCTCACGACTTATTGAATTTTTGGTCTTATTTGTAAGAAAACAAAGCTTTTAGGGTGTTGGGTGCAAAACGTTAGGGCCTTGGCTGCAAAATATGTTGTTTGCGGGGATGCAAAAAGGAAAATGAAATTTGTATGTGTGTGAGCCCAGTGCACCGGGGAATCAAATCGAACCAAAGAGGGGAAAAGAATCTTAAAACTGACATTTAGGTGACAAAGCGATTGATATTGCTGAATATGAATTCCTTCCTTAGTGTTGAGCATGAGTATAATTTCACAAAGTTTTAAGGGTAATGTCAAAGTTTTCTGTATGTGGACTGTTGAACAAATATAACAACTCCAATAAAAATTGATAAAATCAGCCAAAAAATCATCCAGGTCGGAGATCTTGTGTTCCATATGAAACACCACATTTCGAATTTACTCCTCCGAGAATGGAGCGGTTCAAAACTCATTTTCGCCAGTAAGATATGTGGGATGTCATCAAGTGTTGGCTCATCTAGGAAAAGAATACTCTCAACTGCAGGTCCAAACTGATCTTTGTGATACTTAGTAATGAACACTTTGAGCGGGATGCCCCCCTCGGTTTGTCCCTCATTCTAGTTGAGCATGAAGATACATTTCTTGACATCCCTCGATTTGACCCTCATTCTAGTCAAGCATGAAGATACATTTCTTGACATCCCTCGATTGGGCTCTCATTCTAGTCAAGCATGAAGATGCATTTCTTTCTATGTCTGCCATTGGTCAATCGACACCACGCCAGCACATGCACAACAAAGCAGCAACAAACGAGGCGCGTTGAGCCGCAGGACAACCCTAACACCAAATAAGGTTGTTGCTAGGGTTGCCAATCTGCATCCAGAACTCCATTGAGATCCATGCGCCGGATCCAACCGCCACTGCTCGTGGAAACCCCGGAGTCACCATCATTGGATTTGACTGCCTGCGCACCGGCCGACCTCCGCGCCACCCCAACATAGCTAGAACCGGGTTCTCGAGACACGGGCCCAGATCGGTCCCACAAGGTAGCGACCACCGCACCCCCCTCCTCATGTCCCTTCACGAGCCTCCACGAATGCTAAGCACCACCACCGCCTCGAGAACGGTCGCCAGTGCGAGCCAGCTACCGGCAATGAGCACCCACGGCTGCACCATGGTAAAGCACTGGCCCATGACACCGCGAAAAGAGAAGGCCCCGCCTGCGCCGTCCGCATGGGGGATTTGCCTAGCCGCATCCTTCGGGCGGCGATGAGAGAGAGAGAGAGAGAGAGAGAGAGAGAGAGAGAGAGAGAGAGAGAGGGGCCGGCGGCGACCGCGGTTTTGGTCTCCACCGTGTCACTCTAGAAGGAGTGACGTGAGGGCGAGACGTGTTTTAACCAGGTCAAATTTAAGTAAGTAGGAATCGACCAGGTGTTTGCCTAGGTGAATTGAAGACCAGGCATAGTGAGCTCTTGCATATTCAAGCTGTCGATAATAGGAAATTGTATGGACAGTCAAACCAACTATTGTTTTGGGTTATCATGACAGATAATTTCCCTAGTTATAAGAGAGTGCCTAGATCACGATTACATGGAAATTTCTGCAGACGATTTCAACCAACTGTTGGATCTCAATCTTATGGCTCAATTGCGATTTAGGCATATTTGCATTCAGGCTTTCTAAGTCTCAGTCGAATGAGACTTAACGAAGTCTTAGTCGATGCTATATTCATAAGATCTTACATTAAGATCCATGCAAAAAAAAAAATCCTATAGTTTGTTTCTTTCTCTCTCTTGCATATTATGTCACACGACTAAGACTTGTTTAAATCTCGGTCGACTGAGAACAAGCCACACTCATTTGCATTTGCTTCAACTTTAGCACAGCCGTTGAATTAAACCTCGCTCGAGCGAAAAATCTAGGGACTTTATTGAAGAAATATTACGTTATTTGAAGACTATTGTTGTGTTAGCAATTTCACAAGCTTGAGCAGGTTCTCATCTGACGAGCCTCCCTCTGCGATGCTCGTAGACGCTGCGTCCTTCCACGTAGTCGCCCTTGCCTTTATCCCATCGTCACCCAGCAGCAGCTTGACCTTGTTCTTGATCTCGTCCTTGGTGACGACCCCTCTCTCGTCGGCGTGGACCTTGACGCCGGTGCCCCACACGTTGCAGATGTAGCTCTGGTTGGCGAACTGGTCGGCGAAGTAGGGCCAGCAGAGGAACGACACGCCGTGCAGCATGCCTTCCATGGTGGAGTTCCACCCGCAGTGCGACACGAAGCAGGCGACGGCGGGGTGCGAGAGCACGCGCTGCTGCGGTGCCCAGCCCACGACCAGCCCCTTGCCCTCTACGCGGCGCCTGAACTCGTCGAACCAGTCTTCTCCGATTCCGGCGGTGATGTTCGGTCGCACCGCCCAAAGGAAAGGCCGGCCCGTGAGGTCCAGCCCGTCGGCGAGCTCCTGGATCTGCGCCGCGTCGAAGACGGTGAAGCTCCCGAACGCCACGTAGATGACGGAGCCGCGGGCCTGCGCGTCGAGCCAGGGGAGGCACACCGGGTCCTCCGGCCAGAGTTGGCCAGCAGACCTCGACGCCGCCGGCGCTTCCAGGGGGCCGACGGGCAGCGCGTTGGGGACGAGATCCAGCGCCTCCGACTCGATCCCCTCGAAGGTGTTGCAGATGACGATGGCGGCCAGCGGTATCACGGGGTTGGTCTTGAGCAAGATCTGAATCATCAACCTGCGTCTCTCCGGCAAGCTGCTCACACGGACCCATGGTAGCTCGGCAGCCTCGATCGGCGGCATCTTGGGGCTCAGCTGGATCGTCTCGTTCCTCTTCACGTTCCCTGCATCATTTCATACAAGCACTCGATCTCTGAGTCACATAATTAACAACGACGCAGAGCACAGTGGTCTACTTGATTTGGTTTCTTCTTCTTACCAGACTCGTCGAGGACGCCATCGTCGATCAGCTTGGGCACGTGCAGCCGGAGCGCGAACACGGCGGCCGAGAAAGTCGAGAACAGGGCGACGCGGACGCCCGCTGTGGCGGCCAGCTCCATCGCCCAGCACATGGACGCATCGGCGATCAGCCACTTGATCTTCTTGGACCTGATCATCTCCTCGAGGGGGCCGAGCATGGCCGCCGGCAAGCCGCTGCCCAGCAAGGCGATGTCAGTGCGGTCGCCATCAGGGCCCATGCCGTCCGGGAGCGAGACCATGTGGATGCCGTCCGGGTCAACGGCTCCTCTCTCGGCGGCCATGGCCTTGAGGGCGCGGTCGTGGTTGTAGTGCGTGTTCACGAAGTCCACCTCGAGGCCGTGGCCGACGAGCCGGTGGGAGAGCTCCATGAGGGGCATGACATGGCCCTGCGCAGGGAAGGGAAGCACCATGACAGGAGGCCGAGGGCTAGGATGGGCAGCCATGGATGCGAGACCTACTGGCTACTACCCAGCTTGAAAGGTTGTACTACTTTTTATTCCAAAAGGAGGATCACGACCACCGAGCTTTTTCTAGTACTAGTTCGCATGTGCAACTTTGAATGGCGCTGTCGTGCAATGGCGCTGTCGCTGCACGACAGCTTGGGATCGATATGGAAGTTTTGTAATTCGCCACTGCTTTATAGATAGAGATAGTGAACTGAAATTGCCGATGGAAGGTGACAACAACTTTCGTCATTTTATTTTATTTTATTTATTTTGAGAATAACTTTTGTCATATTTGGATCACGTGGTGGATGGGCATAATTGTCAGTTCAAGTTAGCATAAGATCAAAAACAGTCGCCATTAGTACCTCTAATTCAAAACAACTAGAGCTAGACTAGAGAACTAGAGGGAGGGGGGGGCGTGTCGCTCGGGATCTAATGGACGGGTACGACCGTATCCAACAGTGCGCGAGGCGAGTGGCGCCAGGTTTGGGCTGAATGACCGGCACATAGCATTGATCTTACGAAAATTTGCACGTATGTACACAATTTGCCAATGTTTATTGTCAATTTCTTTCAATTTTAGTGTTTTCTTTTTTGACGGGTTTTAGTTTTAGTGTTTAGCGCCCAAGGAGGTTTGAGGAGGAGCCAAAGGGAGGGGGCGCCAAGATGCGAGCTAGGCGCCCATGCGAGGGGAGAGAGGAGGCAAGGGAGGGGACTAGCGAGCCCACAGTGGGCGGAGCAAAGCCGGGGCGGCGAGGAGGGGACGTGGGAAG